TCACATAATCAAGCATCAGCCTGGATCTATATCCCTGACATGTCCCAACTATGTTACTATAAACAAAACTATATATTTTTGATAACTAACCAGGACTGTGACATGCATGGCTTTAAACTTAAGATACCATACTACCGGTATATTTATAGTTGAATATCTGTGAATAATAATCTTTTGAGTATAAAGTAAACTTTTTGTTTACCATTCACAAAATGTTGATCAAGACCTGGAAAAATTATGGTGCTTTTAAAATGTCTTAAAAATACATTTAAAAACTTTTAAAAAACGTTAAGCTATCAGCATATGTTTTGGACTTTTTAGCTTTGCTTTTATCAGAGATGACAAAGCGGAGCTGTTCATATAGGTGTTTGTCAGTTTGTTCTTAAACAATTGCATTTTCAACTTCTTCTTAAAAACTACCTGCCTGATTGCTTTGATACTTGGCATGGAGGTACCTTGGATGGGCATCTGTCAGATTGATTTCATGATGATATCTTTAATTATTATACTTCTGTCAAAGTAACACCATAAGTTACTGTAAAATGACTAATTTTCACAGGGTTTAAATTTCACTGATTTACCATTTCAGGCATCTTTAGTGGGTTTTAAATTCACGGTTTTATCATTTAGATAATGTGTTCTATGCTAAATTTTACATATTCACTGTGTTTTAATTTAGCGCATTTTTCTAGTCAGCGAAATAAGCCAAATTAAAACCCAGTGAATAATTAACCCCTTTACAGTACATTGTGCCATAATTTTGCGATATTTGGGTATTTACATCCTACCATATTAGGAAACACGAATTCCAAATATGGAACAATTATGCGTGTAAGTGTCCTCTAATAATAAAAACAAACATGGCTGCCTCCAGGGTTTGACTGGACCCCACACAAAGTAGTTCGCTTAATCTGTTCTAAATGTTTGGGATTTCGGCATTCTTATGATGTATTCCTGGGAGGAAAAGATGTATAATAATAAGGTTATTACGATGATACTACAAAGTATGCACTCGGACAGTACGCGTTCATATCGACCTCCGCTGCACATCTGGCGATACTTCCGCTGTACTGTCTTTGTGCATACTTTGCAGTATCCTCGCAATAACCTCATATTCTCTAATCTTAGAAAATATTTTTGGTAAAAAATTGCAGCTTTCGACCTCTTCTTAAAAATTACTAGTTGATTTCCATTGATACTTGATATTTGGGGTGGGGTTCTCCCTTTAGATCGTTTGTTTTTTGTCACCATAGTTAAGAATGGTAAAAGCTCAATATTCATTTTCAATGTGGCCTGTTAGTAAAATAATATAAGGGGGATTATTTCACTCACTTTTCCTATTTATTTATTACAGGGGCGTAGGTGTGTCTTGAAGGACTGTTGTGCTATTGCTGATAATACCGTACTTCCACCAGAGACAGTAGTGCCTCCATTCACTGTATTTTCAGGATCACCAGGTGAGATTGCTAAAAAGCATTCATACGTTATGAAAAGACTGCCACCAATTTATTTGCTGCATTCCTTGCTCACTAATGTACGAGATACCCTGCTTTTGTGTTTTTTCTCAGCAAAGTAAAACTTGGTCATGCAGTGTCCCATTTTTGATGTTGTGTGATCTGTATAGAAGTCAAATAACAATTTATGAGAACAAAGGCATATAAAAGTCTTAGGACAATTTATGAGAACTACTATTTTTGATAAAACAGTATAACTCATGGTTGATTTATTTCATTCCAATTCATAACATCAAAGTAGGGTTGCAACTCTTAATAGAGTTTTCATTTTAAATAAAAATAAATGTTTCTAATTATAAGCATTTAGATATGAACATATTAGTACATCTGCTGAGACAATTTTTTGGCAATTCATTTCGGCTATTTGTATTGGCTTTCAACAGACAATGTGTGAACAAGTTGTTGAACTGACTGGAAAAGTAGCAAATTAATGTCCATCTGGTTTAAAATCAGTTTAGCAGAAAAATGGTGGTTTTCAAACAGTTGACATGGAAACATATTGAATGTGTTACTGGGGTTACTGTCTTAAATACTTTTATGGTAAGGGGATGATGAAACTTGGTCTCCTAGGTAGTTGGGCATCATATATGTATATTGTAAATTATAAAAGTAGCTATTCAAGATATCATTTCTAATTTAAGCATTGCCATTACAGCAATTAAAATGAGCTATATTTGAAATATTCCTTTGGAAAGTTAATGGGGATACTAGTAAACATTACTTTTTTTGTACATTTATTTCCAAACTACACAAATAAAGCACCATATGTAATATATTGCTTGCAGTGGTATATAGAAACTAACCATGATATTTATCTATTTACAGGTGTGTTTACAGGTGAGCTCCCCGAGTGTACACAAGATCTGATGGTTGATGTCACTAAAGGATACTATCAACATTTTCTTCCACTGCAAGAAGTCAGATGAAGCCAATATAATGCATCTTTGTAAATATCAGCTTAGTACATCAAAAACATTCAAATTCGATTTAAAAAAAAATGTATTAATTTATGCAACTTTTACAATTATACTTTAATGAGTACAAGTATATATTGTTGTTTTTACCTCCTTGATACATTGCAGTAATGTAGTGACAAGTTCTTTTCTTATACATGGGTGACGAATATACAAATTTATTCATTGATATTTTGGCATGTACTTTGGCAGAGTTATTCATTTTCATGGGCATTACAATCTGTCAATACATTGATAATAGCCGTGTATACTGCTCATAACTTATTGCGTCCAATAGACCTTAATTGAAAATAGCTGCCGAGATCTTGTTTTGGCCCCCAATAATGGTCCATTAGCTATGGCATCCACTATTCCTAATAAACCAGCCTCAATGAGATGTTGATGGCCACTTGCAAACAAAGTTTATTTGTGTGTTCATGGTAAAGACTGTGGGCTGTTTCACAGGGTTTTGACTGAGGAAAAATTGTAGTTGCTTTTTATTTGGCAGAACAATCACATGGCAATCTATTGTTGTCTGTATTTTCTGTACACAGATTTAAATATTTAAGCATTGTGTATTACTGCCATTGTTTTATTGGCATGCTTCGACTGTGGATTTCATTCTGTTTATCAGTGTTCTACTGTCTATTAAAAATGTGCAAACGAATTTACCTCTTTGTGCATAATTATCTTCTTTATTTAATAATTTCACTTAAAACTCGCCTCGTCTTTCTCGACTAATCATAATGCTCCATTGCAGGACTTTATAGACAGTAAAATGTCAGGACTTTGACATTATTATCAAGTCAAAATTTGTTCACATAAATTGTAAGATGTCTACATACCTTTGTTCTTATAAATAGTTCTTAGACTTTTATACAGATCTCAATATGTCAAAAATGAGACACTGCATCATCAGGAATTTCTTTGCTAAGAGGAAACTACAAAGGTTTGAACTTGGACATGTATTGTTAGTGAGCCCTGCAAAATGCAGCAAATAAATATGACGTGCAAGAATCAAGAAAACATAAATTCATATTTTAGGTCTCTAAGTGCTTAATCCATCAAGCACATATTTGATTTTGGGAAGTGATTTAGAAAACTACCTAAAACTAACCTTTATATCTAAATTTAATGTCTTAGTCTGTAGTCGAACTTGTAGTCTAAATGCTTGGAATAAATGCAACTGTATATACTTTGATTGATGTTATGTGCACAAAAGTTACAACTGGCCTCCTCTTGCATTCGTTCACATTCATATATTTCGTTAAATAGCCAAGTTATTGGAAAATTATATTTTTCTTGATGAGATTTCGCAATTGGCAAGTGATTCTTCAGCATTGCGACTATAATGAATAAACAAAACCTTACTGGGTAAGTATGCATACATTCAACAAAGCAGTGTGGATTATTTAGGATTCAGAATCTGCCACTCCTTTTAAAGGTCGGTCTAACAGACCTTTGAAATTGCATGGGTTCGAGGCTGCTAACTTATTTTTCCTGAATTGAACTATCATTTAATCTAGATTTTTGAAAAACAAAGAAATAGTAGGACCCAATATTTAGTACCCTCATGTACCCCAAATAGCTGCTGAAACTCGACACATCTTCAATGTCATCTACTACAAACACCTGAAGTGATTGAAAGAAAAAAAGAAGCACTGACATACTCCTCCATTAATCTAAATATAATAGTAATACATCTATGGATTACAATGAAGTACAATAGACATAATGTACATTGGACAAAGTACATTTACACACATAAATAGGTCAATGTGTACAGTAGAACAAGAACTGGTAGAACAAAATTGAAATCATCTGTGCAGGTCACCAATTCATGAAATCATCTATATAATTGCTTGACGGCTGAGATTAGACGTTCTATTAAAAACCTTGACTCGCGTTCGTGAAAGACAGAAGTCAAAGTCGCCATAACCTGTTCTAGCATATTGATGAAACTTGGGGAAAAGTATACACCATATATGCAAGAGAAAGGGAGTTTTACTATAAAAACCAAAGTCTAGTAGAAATGGTATCAAATTCAAGGAGGATATCAAGATACGAGGCAAAATTCTGTGAATGATTTTGCCACATTGTGTCTTTTATTTTAAGTTTCTGAAATTCTGCTTCATATGAGTAAAGAAATAATTGGCTTGCAAAAGACCGGGGCAAAAGAGTACACTCTTCTGGAATGTCAATGTTCTGCTCTGCTACCAAACTCCACAAATAGGTCGTTACTCAAATTTGCAATCATAATGACGAAGTATAATCAGGCAGTGAGCACTCCCATGTGGTTTACATTATGCCTGATTGAGTCGATAATTTCAATTGAAGCTTGGTAGCCTTTGATATTTGTCTATTCTGACCAGCCTGGTTCAGAGTGGACGAAAAGTTGCAAATACAGAACACTAAGCCAATACACCAAGCATTATGATGTAATCGCATATGTTCCAAAGCTATTGAACGTGGAAAACTACATATTCATTTATACTTGTCAATAAACATAAAAAAATCAGGCAATAACATAACATATTTTAGTGACCTACTGGTAGTGAATCCATCATTCAACAATTAAACCTGTAACTACCGAGATTTGAGAGATCTGAACTGAAAATCTTGAATGATTTGGATTCGACATCACATTTACATTTGATGTTTATAATATAATAAGGGTCTAAAAAGAGAGTGGGTGGTTTCGGCATGATAGAATATGATCATGATTAGATCATTGTCACAGTTATTATATATACGTGTATTTGAATTTAAAAAAAAAAATGTTATTGGGGGGGGGGCTGTAAATACTAATTTCTTTTCCAAATTTGGTCATCCTTTGGAAGTTTTTAACAAAACAACAATCTAAACGTAGTTTAGAGATTAACAAATTGGAATCCCTTCTGGCAGATTCATTCTTTTATTTATACACGGAAAATAGTTAACAACACAATTAAGCCGAATCCTTTAATTTCAAATGCAGGCACATTTATGATGTATTTTCCATCAACAATCCTATATTCACTGATAATTTCTCAAACAAAAGACAGTCTTTATTGTAGTGTTTCTGAATTATTCGGAGTTGTGTATTGCACTTGTCAGTGAATTGTGTTTTTTCTTTCATTGATTTTTTCGATTGTCAGTAATTTGTTTTATGCTTTTGTAAAATTCCCTATACGACTTAATCAATCTATTGTTTGGTATGTTATTTCTACTTTTATAGCTATTCCAGCTCTGATATTTTCAACGAAGAAGATCGGACATATCGTCATACTGATTGATTGTCTTAATTCAACTAGTGATATAGACAAATTTATCTTATGTTGTATACTTTGATATGCATTTCTTGTACTTTTATTTATAGAATTAGGGTTACATAATCACGTGTCATGACCATGACCTTATTAGCTAATTACATTAAGCCACGTATATTATAATGAGCTGATCTCGTGCTCCGCAATAAAAAGTGAACTTCACATCTAACCTACATATACAACCTGATAACTCGTGTGTGTTTTTCTTATTATTCTGATACGCGAGTTTTCACGTAATTAAGTTTACTTTGTAGCAACGAGTTACAAAATTGGTAGCTGCGGTTCCGTAGCTCTTTGGTGCGACCTGCAATCGAATTTCGCCCTAAAAAATTCATTTGGACGTCTTCTTTTTAATTTTGTTGTCGAACATGGGCCGGCCTATGGGCCTATGGGCCGGCCAGAGTCAGTCACGTAAAAAATGCGGTCGGCAACATAGGGCTATGATTCCACAGCTACAAAATTGGCAACGAGGATATTCAAGTACCCACCGGCAAGCCAGTCTGTTTCTCGCCAGTGTTGGCCCAAGTGCATACAAGCTTATGACAATTTTGTGTAGTCTAGCACTACTAAGTACGAAAAGTTACACTCAACTGAAGCAACATCTGACAGAACATATTAAACCTACACCGATCGTCATTGCCGAACGACACAGATTTTGGACCGCGCGACAGGAAGAGCAGGAGTCAATGGCGGAGCTTGTTGTTCGATTGTAAAATCGTGCGGGACAGCCAACTAACGGCATATTTATTTATTTATTCAACACTAAAACGAACTACAGTGAGTTGTTCTATGGTCATATAACAATAAAATAAAGATACAATATAATAAAATAAAATAGTATAAGATTAAATAAACTAAACTAAACTACACTAAGATACAGTAAAGTTAATCGACTGCACAAAATGCTAAATAGAGCTAAATAATATTACAAACACGCAAAGGATCATAATAAACTTATACAATACAATACAATATACTAGCTAATATTGTTGAGGTAAAAAAAAAAAAAAAAAAAAATTACATTAGAGTCATAATTATGGTGGAAAGAATATTTTTAGTTTAATTTTGGCGGAGTTGCTCACATCTCATTTGCATACATTGTTGTATATATTGTGCAGTTCTTATTCCTGAACAATATTTCATAATTGCCTCGAATTTTTCCTGTTCATTTAACTTACTAAAATTTAGTATAATTCTGTGTGTATTGTAAAGACTGCAGTGCATAAGGAAATGTATTTCATCTGCAATCAGCTTTTTATCACAGTATTTACAGACCCTTTCAGTCCTTGGAGTTTTGCAATGCCTGCCAGTTTCAATATGAAGTTTGTGATCAGAGTTTCTGAACTGGCATAGGGAGTGTCTCAGTTTGATATTATTCCTTGTTGTTAAATATTTTTCCATTTTAAACTGTGTTTTGAATGTTCTATAATTTGCCAATTTGTTTGTTCCACCATTTGCTCTGTTGTCATCAAATAGAGCTTCTTTCCATTTTATCATATAATTCTCTTTCAGAAAAGCAGAGATAGTCTTGGTTTGAAGTGGTTTCTTCTTTTTTATTTGTTGTTTTATTGCATTATTAAGATTGTTGTCACTGATTATTTTGTAGACATTTTTTGTCCACCAAGTTTTTACTGTATTGACCTCATCAAAGGTGCTTTTTATTAACTAGGGGTCTCGGAGTTTTGATCTGAACCAGAATTTAATTATTTGTGTGTTAATTTTTATGGCAAGAGGGTATCTTCCCAATTCCCCTAAGATTGCAAGCTTAGTAGCATTCTTTTTAACCCCCAAGAGTAATCCGCAGAAATAATAGTTAACATTTTCAATAATATCGCTATTTTTAATTACTTCATCTCCCCATACTTCACACCCATAGCTAATGATGGGTGCTATCAATTTATCAAATAGGTTTAGAGCTGTGCTTATTTTGAGGTTTGAGACAGAATTGAGTGTTTGTTTTAGTAAGAACATTGCTTTCATTGCTTTTTCTTTTAGAGTCTTACAAGCCAATTTAAACTTTCTATTTGATGTACAAATTATTCCCAAGTAATTGTAGCTTCCAACCACATCAATTTCATTTCCTTTATAAAAAACAGATTTATGTTTGACAATTTGGTTTCTCTTATTAAAGATCATTAATTTTGTTTTGCTTAAACTTACAGTTAATTTCCATGCATCACTATATTCTGCCAAAGCATCTAAGCTGTTTTGCATACCTTCCTGCGACTGGGATAGAATCAAGACATCATCTGCAAACATAATACAACCTAATTTCGTATTCTTTATTTCAGGTGGGTTACCATTGGCAGACATCATCTTTTCAGGCAAACTATTCATGTACAGACTAAATAATGTTGGGCTAATATTGCAACCCTGTTTCACCCCAGTAAATGACCCAAATTTACTTGTCAACCCTTTGCCTGTTTTTACAGTGTAAACCACCCGCTATACATACTTTTAATTGTATTATAGAAACTACCATTTATACCATATGTTTGCAGATTCCAGTATAGACCATCACGCCACATACTGTCAAAAGCCTTTTTGTAATCCACAAAACAGGCATATATTTTCTTTTTTGAGTTTTCTGAGTGGGAATCAACGCAAGCCAACTAGTCAAGACGCGCACCGAGTGCAGCATCGCATAAGAGCCAAGAAACGCCCGCTGCAACATGCTGCGAAGTCGGCGGAAAAGACATTGTTCACCAAAGGCAAACATTCTGCTGAAAAATGTAGATTTAAGGACGCTACATGTTACTGCTGTACACAGAATGGACATGTTAAATCCGTTTGTCAATCGTCAGTGAAATTATATCAGAACTGTGTGAACTCCAAATAAAGATGTACTTTTTTCTCCATATTTAGTAAATGTGGGGGATGCTAGTATTGATATGGAAATCGATACTGGGGTTTTTAGTTCCACTTCAAAACCGCTATTATGTGTATATGCCAGCCCATATGGGTTTGGTCATAAATTGGATGATGAAACAGAAAGGCCTATTACTTATGCATCGCGAACCCTGACAGCGACCTGGAAAAATATTTACAAATTGACAAGGAATGTTTAGCAATTGTGTTTGTAGTAAAAAAAAATCCACTTGCATGTTTACAGTAGAGATTTCATACTTATTATTGACCATCAGCCGTTGACACGTATTTTTTGAACGAAATCTAGAATACCCCCTCTCGTTGCCGCGCGAATGCAGAGGTGCTCTTTGTTTTTGTCAGGTTATCAATACAAAATAGTCTATAGATCATCAGCACAAAATGCTATTGCTGATTTACTTAGTAGATTACCGTTGTCTACAGTTACTGCAGAGCCAGATGAAGAGAGTGTACATCAAGTGCCGTAGATCAGTTGCCTGACGTCACTGCCAAACAAATCGCTGAACAAACGCACAAAGACACAGTATTGTCAAACGTGTTAGATCATACATTGTCTGGTAGCCGTGGTTTCGCGGCGTTTTGAGTCCGGGGAGGTATTTTGCTTCGTCTGTCAATTATATACACATTGTCGGTATACAGCCGTTTACTTTGTACAACTCTACCAATTGATTGTTCTAGTATTTGGTGATGATAACTTTAATGAACTATATTGTGTGAATACGTTTTGACATTTCTGAGAAAAAAATCTATGATAAGCATTGTTTTTGTAAATATACTCAGTTGCCTTAGATAAAGCTGTAGCAGATTTGTTTATATAACTGTGTTAACATTTCAATACAATACAATGCTCTGCTTTGATCATTTTAATTGTCTTTGGTATGATCATTGCATTGTGATACATGTACAATCAAATTCATTTTTTATTTATTTATAGTGAATATACTTGTTATTTCTGGTAAAAGCAATGCTGTTTTCTATCTGTCCTTCGAAGAGTGCCACATTTTCTGTGATATTGAAAAAAACATTTCATATGCAAAATATTTTCTAAACATTTTCTAAAATATTTTCAAATCGTAGTTAATTTTATTTTGAGAGTACTGGAGGGTCTTGTCCCTTTTGCAATCAATGTAACTCACATTCATGGATAACAAAGCCCCCTTAGCTCAGTGCTCGCATGAGTAGAATTTGTTGGTACATGTTATCTACTTATTCTATGAATATTTCAGAGCTTTATCATAAAAGGGACATGCTTGAAACAGTGTTCAAAACACACATTGTTATTACTCAATTAGTACATTCCCATGTATTTTGAATAAATAAAAAAAATCCCAGTCAAGTATGAAAATTTACATTTATTTACAAGACAATCGTTACAAAAGATTTCGTGATCATTTAAAAAATTACTACAGCAACTCCACTAATCATCTATTGATATGTAAATTAGTGTATATCTGTAATTATGACATCAAATGATCAATCAAATGAGTACTACTTCAGCAGGGACTCTTTAGAATTTTTCACTTTTTTGCAAAAAAATGTGTATGTAATATAACAGTCACAACAATTTGTGGTAAAATTACGCATTATAAAGATTTCACTGTCTGAATGTAAAAAAAACAGAAACGAAAGGAATTTGTAGTGAAAATGCAAAAATATATGATTAAATGAAGAAATACCCAATACTGCTGCAGTTAATGTTCAGATACTGTTTTTTATTTTGTGATCAACCAAGAAAATGATCGTTAGCCATACTTTTTTGTTCCTGGGTCTTCTTGATAATTGTTAATCCATCTGAACTGAATACCCTTAGAACATTGTCATATTGAATGCGGTAATATTGCAAAATATTATATTGCAAAATAGTATATAATGTGTACAACGTCATTTTTAATTTCATAGAGATGACATACCCACATTTCCATCGCAAATTCCTAAACGCAAATATAAATATATTCAAATATTCTACGCCGATTTAAAGGTTACCTTGATAAACAAAAACACACATGGAATAACCATAAGGCCCCTTTGATCATTTATTCGTATTTTTGAAAATGCACTAAGTAAAACACTTGGGATCAATATATTATGGACTTTCTAATGGTATGTTTGGCTTATAGCTTATCCCCATATGTCAAACTCTGCATTGTCTTCTCGTCTGATTTACTTGAAATACCATATGTTGTAATCACATGACAGTAAACAATTCTTTATATATTACTGTCAAATCATCTGACATCAAACAGTCACGATGAAGGTATTCACCGTCACCCGATGCTTACTGCTGACATTATTGCTAGTATTGGCAACCACGGCAAATGTGAGTATGTTTAAATACCGTCTCACCGCCATTCAGTATGTTCAGAATCCACAATGTCCATGGTGACTGTTATTATCTAAGAGCGTTGTTCTAAACTACACAATATGAATATTATTTCCGAATTATTCGATGAATTCGTCACGTTTGTCCATTATTAAATTTGTAATGAATTACTGAAGTAATACTTGATGAGCCAAGTACGTGTATTCGCTGGCAGGTGAACATATAATAATTATTATAGTGATTTATTTTTCTTTCAGAAATCAAAACATGGTAAGTTTCCAAAGAGCATTGTCACCCTTCATTCATATAGTGATTGTTTTAGCGGTGTGTAGATTTGTCGTCTTTTGATATATGTCAATCCGTCACACTGCTTCGCAAGTACTGATCATGAGGATTCAACAACTATATATATGTATTTGCGCACAGGTGTGCATTACAGTATGCTGAGAACAGAAATTTATTCAATGTACATCAGTTTATCAACCACATCATCACGTGTTGTTAAGCATAAGCAATTATTGAGTGTACGACGCAGGTCATTTGTGAATTCTCAGACTTGGATGATTTGTAATAGGGTTTATGCATCCCAAAACGATCAAACAAATGAAATGATGACAATAAATTTTAAAAAGTGCAACCATTTGTCATTGAAGTTAAAAAGTCATTCCGTTATAAGACAACAATAGCCAAGATGTGTGCCAGGATGTGTAAACATGCATAATTTGTTATTCTGTTTACGTTGACACGGATTATTATACTTATTACGTCATTACGTTATTAGTATCCCTATCTGTTGATGTGTTGAGTGACGCGGAATGTATTTTGGGTACAAGCAAGTTTGTTGTGGGGTTCTTTGCATAATGTATTACAATTCCATGCAACTTAATGCATTACCAAAAAATAACATATTATATTGATGATCGATGAATTTTATTATCAACACCAACTTTGCACACTTTTACAACAATATTCAAGCCTCTCCTACCTCTTCTACCTAAACATGTCTCAACTCATTCGCTATCCCAGAGCATGTAGTTACTGTTTAAAGAGACGTTGTCTTCGTTGGTACAAAATATTAAAGTGCGGTGAGCGTCGGGTAGAATGCGCTCACTTCCTTCGAAATATCTGATATCACTCCATGTATACCATAAGGTTCTTCTTCTGATTTGCTATGTAGTGTAATTTTTATGGTTGTAGTAGTTTTGTCATGTTGTTTTTTGTCGATTTCTTTGTTGATTGTTGGGTTTGTGTTCTTGGACTACTTCAAATATTCCTATTTTTCAATGATTTGCGGTTGGGTATGCGATTTCCATTTTACTAGTGTAGGTTATTTCAATCTTTTCTAAACAATTCGAAGAATAGTAAATATATTTCGAGTAGCCGGTAGATCATATATGTACTGCAATTCACCTTCCCACAATATAACTAGTCCGTGGTGTATTCACGTATTCGATGGTGTATTCAATGTTTGTCACTTCTCAAATTACATACATATTAGGTATTTAAAGTACATTTTCTTCCTGAATATTCACTAGCGCCGGGTAAGAACATGTTGCTTGTCGTAGTTTTTAGATGAGTTGTCGTAACGCTATTGAATACTGTTCAAATGACGAGCGCGGGACTGCATAGAAAGGCGAATTCGTTCATTTTATGAAAGAATTTGTACCGTACACGTGTATTAATCAGAGTGGTAATGAATTATTTAAAATATCATATTTGTTGTTGACAATTTGGGTATTTTTGTCCTTTACACTTGTAAATTATTGACTGTGATCGCCGTAGGTATTTTTACCATATTTTTTCCATACCATGCCAGTTAAGTTACCAGCAATAGCGTTAGCTGTTCTCGAACTTTTGAACTGTTTTCTCATTGGACCACGAAGTAATAAGTGTGACGAATCAATATATTTATCGTTTCATAAAGCAAAATAAATTCACAGTAATTACATAAAGATAATCCAGATTAATAATTTGCTCACCTATTCGTTTGTTTTTAAGAAAAAAACAAAAACATAAAACGACTAATAAAATAAGCAAATAAGAAAAAAGAATGATAAAGTAGTTTTAAAGCACAATGAAATAACACTGTTATTTAGGGACTTCTCTTTACATCTGTATTAATTACATCCAATGCACACTATTGTAATCGTTCTTAATACTCACATGTGTGTTTAACAATTATATGTGTCCGGTTCCCAATATATCTTAATTTTTTATTTCAAGCGGTACGTCGTTCCGCATTTGATGCAAAAAAGTTGGTGTACACTGGTCCTGAATCACGTGTGAAAGTAAATAGTGATTGTAGCCCCATACCATCGATGACGGCCCTCACTGCGTGTGCCTGGCTGAAGGCCAATGCGATGGGGGAGAAGACAACGATAATGTCGTATGCTGTTGCCGGGCAGCCGAATGAATTGAAATTCTATATATCAGCTACCCTCAGGGTGTACACGTACGTCAGTGGTGAATGGAGGTATGATAACATCCAGAGTGATGGTTGGCAAGACAACGAATGGATGCATCTATGCTATGGGTGGGATAACTCGGGAGTCTTGAAGGGTTACTTGAACGGCGTTCTAGTTAAAGACAGTACTGGTTTGAGCGATGGCGTGACAGTGACCGGTGGTGGCGTTATGTATCTTGGACAAGAACAAGACACGTTAGGCGGAGGATTTGACAACGACGAAGCGCTGGTAGGTGAATTGACGAGCTTCAACCTCTGGAGTAGAAGATTGAGTGATGCTGAGATAGCTGATGTTTACGACACATGTAGTGTTATAGACGACAGTTTGATGCCCGATGTATTCACGTGGGATGTCTATCACCTTGACATTGAACCAACTGACGTATCCGTTGAATATTTAGATGCTGGCGAACCTTGGTAAGCAATAATTTCTTTTGGTGTTGCCGATGCAAACACATTCTCTACTTAATATTATTTTATTTTTAGTCACAGGGGCAGATAATATGGGAGGTAGCATGCTTCCTACTACAATTTATGCTTACTGTGTTTTACCTGACATATTTTTGCATGAGCTGCGCGCTGCATATGACCACAACTCACACTTTGGTAACTATTGATTGTTGATTCTACCTTTATCTATATTTGTGGGGGCGGAGCCTGGATTTAAACTGACTTCACCGTAACAGTTTCTGTTTGTATTATTTATTGCAGTTAGAAATGACGATATGCTGGCATACGCTCCTCTCCAAGTAGTATAGCTTAAACATCATTCCACGGAATTCTCAAGGAGGCTTCGTATTACAAACACAATCTAACACCAATGGATTATACTTAATAATAAACGATTAGACATCAATAACTTTGTTTTGTGTATAATTTACATTGCAATCCCAAAGAATTTAGTGTTTATTGTTTGCTGCTAGAACGCGTATTATGTTATTCTAAAAAACAATACTAAAAACTCAATATAAATTACTTAATCTTTAGAGTGTGGAGATTAACTGTAGAATTTGCCTTTAATATCTACTTTGTTATATGCATGTTTGAAATAATCTGAATGCAGTGATTTGTAATTGTGAATTGTAAAAGTGTTTTATCAACCTTGGAAGCTCTAGAAGTATATTGACCAAACAACGTGACTGGATCACTATTTGTCTCCTCTCTTCCTCTGTACTACATACAATATTACAGATCAATTGGCCAAACCTCTAATTTAAAAATAAAATGCTAAAACTTCGCGTCCGTTGTGCAGGAAATTCGAGATGGTGACCAGTCTGAATTATTTCATATAATAATATGAGAAATGATACCAAACATTTTTGACGGATATCCAAAACGGCGGCAATTGATCCAACTTACTGTAAAATGACAAATTTTCACTGAGTTTAAATTTCGCTGATTTATCATTTCAGGCATATTCAGTGAGTTCTTTAAATTCACGGTTTTGTCATTTAGATTTAAATTTTACATATTCACTGGGTATAAATTTAACGCATTTTCCAGTCAGCGAAATAAGTAAAACTACAACCCAGAGAATATTAAATTAAAATTCTTAGTACAGTATGTTATGTTCTTCAGAAGATGCTTTGGTATTGCAATTATACAGTGATCTACAATTCATTGAAATGATATGCGGATGTGACGTCATATAGGGAACATGCAAAATAAAAAGTGAATTGCTTTCAAACACTACAGTCGTCGCGCAGCCCGAATACGTCTTCAGAGGGCGCCATCTATTAAAATTCAGTTTTGTCAAGTTTTCAGTTTTGGGGGAGGTGCTCCACAGCCAGTTAAAAACAATCTACCAGGATCGTAAGCGAAATTTCAAATACGCCGCCAGCTTAGTCTCTCTCTCTGTTGGTCTCTCACTCGTGGTTTTAAGTGCCAATAATTATTATAGTGTGCGTCGTGCGTCACACATTTCTACGCCTCCCATCACGTGACCGATCTCAAGGAAAACAGCGAGCATTTGCATGTGACATTAGTCTTGTGTCAAAATTCGCTGGTTAAACACTTTGTATATGTTCTGTTTTTGGTCGGCATGCGCGTCGAGTTCCACTAAAAGCTGCGCTCAGAGTTTTTTTTTTATTTGAAACCACGAAGAAGAAAAAAATGCGCGATATCGTTACTGCAATTTGGCATATAACTTTCAGATTGAAAAGCACGTTTACACATAGGTAACATCGATATAGTCGTAACGGGTTGTTGGTCACACCATGGAAGGTAGTACTACTCCCGCCTTCCTTCCTACTTTCCATGGTCACACTGACCGTTATCTAAACTACCAGTATTCATTCGCCCAAGGCACTGTGATTTGCCAAGTTGTTTTCAACCGTTATATAAAACGGCTTTATGAAATATAGTATAAACACAGTTTCCGTTAATAAACCCAATATTTTATTCGAGTTAGTCATATAAACATAATCGTACAATTAATTGTTTTAAACGGCGAACAATTGAAAGAATGTGACTCCTCCAAAAACCTTCAGCAAAAATAATATGAAAATCCGGATTATTATAATATTTAATCGAAATCGACCGATATTTATATTTTTTTTAAACACTGCATTTGTCAATTAACATAATAAAGGATATTTGATAGAATGAGTTAGAATATTTAATAACCACGAGATGAGCAAAGCAGACATAACCATAGACTCATTTTTCTCAAACGTCCGCCTGCAATAAAGTAAATAAACAAATAACACAGTATGGGTGAATTAAATTTATACCAGCTTTGAATTACAAGCAGGACAAACAATGTCTCACTATATGCAACAATTGTATATGGAACGCGTGTATTATACACTATTTTCAGTTTTGTAACGTGTTCAACAATCCAATTATGTGTCACGTATTTGTTGTTGCCCCCCCCACAAATCGCCTTTGTGATTTTTATTACGTCTGGTTAAAAAAAAATAACGTGAGCAAAGGAACCATAATTGGTCAATATATTTGGTGGAATATGGGTAATTGAAAACAATTACCACGAATTAGCGTATAAAATGCAAGGTTTCAGAAAATGTATACAATGCTATGCCATATCGATAATCGTTTAAAGTTCGTTCACCGAAACAGCAACATTGCCAGCTAACCGACTGTTCTGCGCACACGGAGACCGTTGTCTGATTTGAATGAATAGTTGAAATAAAGCGGGAGGGTCGTCACCTGCGCACGCGCGGGTGTTTCAAGCGACGATAACCATTCTCCTTCCCAGAGTTCCTTGCGGTTAGATCACCGAAAGTATCTCAGCCACCACACACCGCCATTTTGTGATGAAACACCACAAGACTTTTACTACGCATGTCATTTGCGTATTTTTTGTTATAAGAGGGCTCTCGTGTTGATTTATTCCTACCGGAAAACAAGTTTTAAAATATTTCATCTATAGCTGATAACGATTTTTCGGTAAATGTGCTGTTAAGGGTGAAATAGTTATAATTCACAAAAGAAAATAATTTCATCGCGGAATAACGGTTACTAAGGTGTTACTCGGTTCATCAAACTGACCGTCCTGTGGATTGCCAGGCGAAGAAATATAAACAAACGGAAGCACTTCGTAGTATTGACGACCAAATCGTGCTACTGCCACGCCGTTTGTGTTACAGAAAGTAAAACATTAGCTTCTCAATTTAAAATTAGCCAGAATCTACAAACGACGCGTACACTTTTGTCAGGTTCGAAAATCGAACACCTGCCTGGCAATGTTTTGTTAGGCGTCTTTGTAAGTAGTTCCACTGTGACGCATCGATCAATCAACGACGAGCATAATATCGCGTGGTGGCAGAGATATATTCGTGGAATAGAACTCTGCCTGGGAGATTGGACGATAACAACACACGCTAAAAACGCAAAGGCTCAAGGGTAGACGCTTGTTTGTAAACAATGACACAGTGAGGCCATCTGACGCATGCGCAGGTGACGACTCCACCGCTTTAAACCAATCGGACGAGGGTACTCCGATTAGATAAATGCAGCACAATTATCACAGAACTTTGTCAATGCAATGATACAGCACTGAAAAATAAACTTAATACTGGGAATGTAATAAAATCTATTTTAAAATGTCTACAGTGAAAGGCATAAAGTTGTAGATGTTATAACACATGTTATAAATATAATTTTTTATAAATCAAAAACATTGGTTGAATTCAAATTGATCTATCCAGAAACGATATGGCGACATTATCGCATATTCTCAGTAATATTAATGACTACTTCGACATTATCCAATCAGCAATCTATTTTTTTCGAATAAGTTAGTGGTCGCAGTTAGTGTTGTCAATTGAAGCGCGCGTATTACAGGGATAGACAATGTGAAGATCTTGGCAAGTTAAATATTTTAATTTGAATGTATTTACCAATTGTTATTAATATGTCTATAAACTAAAGCACAGTTTTCTGCCTTTCGCTGTATTCGGTGTCTTCTTCTAATAACGATTTCCAGGCGCGTGCAGCAAAAAGTCAGCAAGTTAAAGCGCGGTGGTCGTCGCGCAGCGCGTGTTCGAATTTCATGTAAATAAACAATGTATTTTACACTCGTTGTGTACGTCGCTATGAGTCCCATATCGAACAGGACGCGGCACAACGACTACCGCTCTTTTGAACTGGCAATGTGGCGATGTTGGTGTACGAGACTAACAATACATTTCATCTCACCTTTATACGGGGTAGTCGTACCTACATATGTAATAATTCAATGCTCTACATGTGTTCATTGCCCAACCATAGCCGGAATTCCTTCTGGAATATAAAATTAGAAACTGACAGAGTGAATACAAACTCAACCTTCAAAATGAAATTTATATGACGTTCCGGCGAATGTAAATTAAAAAAAAGCATTGCAATCGATCGCCACCCATCGCTCGAATTGTGTAAACATTGTATCTTACAGACGTTAGATACGTGTATGGAACCTGATATCGTAAGCAGTGTGACTTCTGTGGCGAATTACGTTAATCCATTTCCGGAACATCTTTTCAAATTTTAATCCCTGAGCGAACTTCTCTACAAATAATAATCCTGGGGGGGGGGGGAGATATACATATTTTGGATACAACATTTGATACCCCCGAACGTATTTATTGGTTGCAAATTGTAGATTCTTTCAGGCGAATTCCAATAAAAATACACTTTTAATTGAAAGCAGATTACCTCAACTCAGCACAGTCTTTTCTGGCTGGTGCCGCGGCAGGTTCCCCTGACAACCAGTTGGTGTACGTCACTTCCTTCTGGTCTGCAGTTTTATACGTCCCCTCGACGTCCCTATCGTTGATAGAAATCCACACATTTCCAACGGAGATGTTGTCAGATCCGATGAACCTGTTCAACTTCGACACTATCTGGTCTTCAGTGGCCTTGTCTGGGATTGTAGCGAGTAGACCACCATTCGCGATGCAATCGTTTCTGGCGGTCTTCCATTTCCGCTTTTGAAAGAATATTTCGTATCTTGTAGAGTCGTCGACATCCAGGGTTGCCGATTGAGGGTTCTGGAGATTTGGAGTGTACTCTTCTGAAATGTTAGTTAGGTAACTGCTACAACAAAGTTTCTTTTATGACGTAATGGAAAGGCAATAAGTAATAACTTTCCGCAAATTGTTCGAATATTACAACGATATAAAGACTTTGATGACCTTGTGAAATTCTTTCGTTTTTACGCAGAAAAATACAGTATTTTTTCAAGTAAAATCATATTTATTCAAGTTATTGTTCATACATGATCATGAGCTTGACATTTTATTAAGCTTCTTTCTGTCTAATTTAAGACAGATAAAATGCAAAAATATACAGAATATAGCGAATTACATTTTTGTCTGTAATATTTTTTTAATCGGTAATTATATCGTTAGGAATTATATTAGGTCCACCCGAAAAACGAAATAATTTCACAATGTCGAAAACGGAAAGTTTTTATCGCAGTGTTGAATTTATTTCTGACACTGATGGTCATCCGAGATTATAATAACAATATAACTGTCCTGAAATTAAACCATGTGTGTAATATTTCACATTGTGCAATGCTGTTGATATAACATGCCATTATTTCATGCATTCAAACTGTCAATCAAGCGAATTCAAACAAACTTGGCCGTATTGGTCGTGGTTACCGAAGACTAACCAGATGACGCCATAAATGAAATATATGAATATTTTGTTTTGAAGGAGATAGATAGCACATACGGTTCATGCATATGTCTCAAATTGTGGTTCTACAGGACTACAGGACTTATATTATTCACCAGAATACATAACAATGTGTTACTGACAATATATTATGACCAACCCAACCTGCATCAGTCATACGCTACATTACTGTTGTCAACAAACTCGTCTACATAGTATTTTTTTTATAATTTTAGTAACGTACCTTGACAACAGAAACGAATTTCATAGTCGTGACAGAGACCATTGTCTTGTTCGGCGTTCAGACACTGCACACCTTGGCTGTAACCGAAAGTCTTGAAGCGATTGAATACAGGGAAGCTGGCAGACGGGTTGTTACGACTGCGTATCTCCATGAACTCATCCGTATGTCCACACATTTCATCGGAGTAGAGGTCTCTCATTTGGCTCATAGTCTCCAGGTCACCTTCCCCTTCTGGCGTATCCACACTGAACCACTTCGTCCACAAATAATCGCACTCACGTCGTGTTTTTCCTTCTAGAATCAAGATAGAATATCAACAAGAACATATAGTGGGTAATAATCCTGATAATTAATCGCCCGGTTTGATGTATGGATTTAAATCACCTTCTTCTTTGGCAATAACATACCGGACCCCTAATTCCCCTCTTTTTAAAATTGCGCCCTCTAGTGACAGTGTTCTCATGTGACGTCAAAATGACGTAAACGGGCCAGCGCAATGCGTTTTAAATCGACCACTTTGTTTGGTTGCGTCATCGTTTTTTTGCTATAATATGATAAAATCACCCAAACACATTTTTCATTGGTGGTCGACTACAGATCAAAATGACGTCGACGCTTTGGACAACCTCGCTAAGTCACTAGATGGCACGATTTATAGGAAAGGTGTTTTGTTCGGCTAACGCCGTATTTGCTTTATAATGTAGAAGCAAAATACAAATACCTGTACTAATAGGACACACGTTAGCCATTTCATCAGCTTGAAACTGATAAAACCCGATGCAGTTGTCTGGTCCGAAGCAGTATTCTGCAACACACTCGGCACTGGGATCCGCGGGGCAGAAGGTGCCATACGGACAAGCATTGCAACATACACCCGGCTCAGCGTCCGTATCTCCTTCAACACATTTGTAGAAATCGGTAGTTGGGCTTACGTCAGAACACGACCTCACTTCATCGGAGAACGCATCGTTGTCCTTAGGTGGCAAACAGTACACAATATCACCCGTCGTGTAGTCAACTTTAGGCAGATATGACGATTGGCATGGATTTTTTTCCAGATAAGGAGAGCTCAAGCTGCCTATAGCGAGAAGGGGTATACAATACAGTTATGATCACGTCTGTCCTTTCAAACCTAATATGTAAACGTCTACACAATCTCTAGTATATGGTCTGATTATTGCATATGAATGACCAATTATGTGGTTAAGGTTATGTGATCCCCGTCAAAAATATACATCCCATAAATGAGATAAACAAACATCCGACTATATCGACATAATGAATATGGTAAAACAATGTGTAAGGCGTAGTCTTGCATAAATTATTTTTTTGTTTGTCGGATAGAGGTTCTCATTGTCGTGTAAGAATGTAAAGCTATGGCGTCATAAACAACTCAATTCAGATAGTTGTGACTTATAACAAAAATATTGATTGACATTGCAGGACACACAATCACTTGAATTGTTTGACCTGGGGGGGGGTTAACTAGGCAGGCATGTATCAACGTACTACCACAAACGAAATATTACAATACAGCAAATAATAAATAACGTTTCGAGTATTTTTAAATGACACGATTGGATGTATATGTGAATGAATGATTGTATGCGATATCATGTGCCAACCTGCAACATGCAAGTTATGATCGTTGATTTATGACCGAATACGATGGAAGTAATTCGAACTATAAGATTTACTGGTCAGTCAGAACTAGTATTACATAGAAGCTTACTTATTCTACCGAAATGTAAAACCGGATTATAATACAAAATCGACCGTCTACTTATCATGTCTTACGATGTAAGCACTTTATCATATCAATACTTCCTTCTTACCTTCATGCCATTCAGCAGTGATCTGAAACAAACAGTTAATGTAACATGAGTATTTCACTTGTTTCAACTAGTGCGTGTCTAAGAAGGAAGAAAGCGCGTCGGTTGGTATGGGCGCATGTGTCGTAGTTGCGAGTTATAAGAATATAATCCATTGTTTCGTGTAATTATGGTCATATATGAGCCCGTAACATATACTCAGATAAACATATGGCTTACCTGCGTGGACAAGAACAGGAGACAGGCAACAATGTTGACGAGGAACACTGCCGTCATTTCGTCTTAATTTCCTGTAAAAATAATAGTAATGCACACATTCGTCATCGAAAATGGTCTATATAGTGTTTGTAAAATGTCAAATTGTCGATAGTTTTGTTAGAATTGTCACATTTCTTTGTCATTAAGTTTTGCCATAGTTGGATACCAGCCTTTACCAACAAGAGCATCAATTATATAATGTGGACATTACAGTACGAGTGCAAACAAAATGTTTTGCGCCGACGTTTTAGTTATTGAATTGAAACATTGAAAACAGCAAAAAAACGACTGTCTTAATCCGAAATGGGTATTAAAATGTGACTGCACGCTTACTTATAAATGAAGCCTCAATATGATCAATCGAATGTAGATTTAAGTCACAGATCCGGGCAGAAGAGATGTTACGAGGTTCGTTACTCAACAACTACGCCACTAATAGCTGTGTCGCCCACTCGAGTACCGGGAATCAAGGATGTAATCAGATTACAGCCTATAGAACTGGTATTGTATAGCATGGAAACGTTCAATCAGAAAATTAATTAGTCTCACCGTATGAAGCAAACCATATCAATACAAACTGAACAATGCTAGGCAATTCACTTCTTGCACGTCACCTATTTTACTACGTTCTCCTGGTAGAACCACTCAACAAACAAAATCGCGCAATCTAATTTCAACTCCACATCTCGTACTTTGCATTGCTTCCTCCAATGCTATGACTCAGTTGAGTAAAACAACAACAACTATGAAATGTACTGTTTCTATCACTCTGTCATAAACGTTTATATTTGATATTCGATAATAAAATTATTACTATTATTGATATTATTTAGATTGTATCAACTCAAGCCGGTTCATTGACCATATGCGGCACACACCGTGAGGTGTTTTAGCTACACACAATTGCTAAACGGAATATGCGCGCTTTCAAAGCAGCAATGCAAGCAATCAATCTATACTATAGCGTGCTATGGAGGTGATGAATACATTTTTAAACGTGCTGATGGCTCATAAATAAATGCCTACGGGTAAAACACGTGTATTACGACATGAATCACTTTGACAAATCTAAAACAGTAAATACCAACGTGTGTCGCCTGGTTCTGTCGTCAGTGATCACCCGCAATGCGCCTAAGACGCAGATCGAACGTCTGTCTCAAAAATCGAATAGTTTAAATTTTAAGCTTGATTTCTCTTTGTTTATTGTAGCAATACTTATCTTTAAGAAAGGAATATTTCATTATTATGAACATACTTCATCACAATTGAAAATCATCATTTAGCGTGGAAATATCCATAACATTGTTTCGAGTTTATCAAATCTCACGCGATGTTATGACGCTATTACAACGCTAAGACCTTTGTTTGTCCTGTTTACGTTCGATTTGACTCATTTCGCGAAATCTCACAGTGGAACGGAAAATGATCTATTGGATTCAAAACAAATCTTCACACATACATATCATACGTAAACACGTAGAAAAACAAAATGCAGTAGTGTACCCATAGACTAACAGCATGTCATACGCAATTGTATCATTAACGAAAGGCAAAGATGGTAAACAAGAAAACAACAACAAATAAGGTCACACTGTGCAACCCTTGATTCGCTCCTGAAGGAACATTATGTTACTAGGTGATAATAGTGCAGTATAGTAGTGTAATAGGAATGCCTGGTTATATTATTACTCACTGGTTCACATGAATGAGTTAAATATTGCCACGCGCAAACCTAGTGTGTCTAATATGCCTACATCATACGATTACTCCTCAGTAATCCTCAACTGAACCGTGAACGTTGATGTGAGCTATTCAGTGAGGAAATTACCGACACGATGTACGCTAGGTACAGAATCGCCACCGTGTTACTGTGGTGACAATGCTCTTTGTTGTATTGAACAGTTTAAAAAGTCTTAAATTTACGATACATATGATAAGTTCAGCTCTCTGGGATTAATTACATTATTTAGGTATATTATATTTAGGCACAGAAATATTTTTTTGTTAAAAATCTTTTTAGGGCCTCCCGTGAGAGGGATTGGATATTTCCATTAGAAAGTCGTATTTGTCGAAAAGTTTTCTTTTTAAAAATATAGCATGAGAAAATGATTTATACCTAAAGTCAGTCCTAGAAAAGAATATAGATTTGTTTGCTAACTATTGACTGTTGAATGACATTCATGGTCAGATATTTGAATACGCACACACGCGAGATATGCCGTAACCATCACGTGAAATAGATTTAACTAGAACATACACAATCACGCTGTCCGTATCTTTTATTTAGTGAGTGATTTCCCATTTGCTAGGTAACATCAACATACACGCTTTACTGTCGCTCGTTGTCGAATATTTCAGTTACATGTAATTTCTTATTACGCTGATGCCAGGTCATTAGTTTATTACCCTGTAAAACAACTGTGAAAATGCAGCTGTCCAACGTGAGTTCACGTCATGTCAACACTGAAGTAACCTGGGTTTAACCATCGTATACCAGAATTACCATATACCAGAATTACGGTATTGAGAAAATAAAGTGACATTATGTATCCATTTTTCACCTATATCCCAGTTTTCTAATGAATATATTAACTTACAGGTAAAACAATATACAAAGATTGATAAATTAAAGATCGAATCATTCATTCGGTATGTTTAGTCTTGGACGAAACGAAACAAAAGGAAAGATACACGTCTTATGATTATGACCAGATGCTGTATTTTTCGTTTCTTTCCACCCCTTTCGTTCACATTTTTTGTCCTGATTGGTTGAATGAATATGCAACTTTTTCGTCGCTTTCGTTCAGCCAATCAAGACAAAGAATGTGAACAAAAGGGGGTCGAAATGAAAGAAAAATACATCGCCCGGCCAATCATAAGACGTGTATAATTCTTTTCGTTTCGCTAACGGAACACTTAACTTGAACACTTAAGCAGATTCTACAATCTATATCCCCATGTGGTACAAATATTAAATGAACAAAGCATTAGTTTAAATCACCAATAATACATAAATGCTTAGCGAATAGCAAGCGCCATACATGGTTGACTGTACTTTGATTATTGTAATATTGACAATATATAGGTGTGCGGAGATCCATAGAAACCGACACCAAAAGCAATTATATTCTCAGCAACCAGTATACTCAAATAACGATATTTAGTTTTTATTTGATACTGAACACAATGCAAAATATAGATATAGAGAAACATGCAAGCGTATGTAAAATGTATGTACCCATTTCCTTCAGTCAATCTGTTAAAAAACACTGTGGGTTTCTTGGTAGTAAACAGTATTAAAGAGTTATTTATATCTTTGGTTCCTAAGTATGCAATATGACCCTGGTAATATTGAATTGGAATAGGGAAATACCCACTTATCTTTCACTAAATGGACCAGGAATATATATTTCATTAATACCAATTGCACATTGACCTCACTCAATCCCCAGTAAAATTAATACGATTTGTATCCATTATTTTTGTAACACTTATTCGTACCACTGTCCCGTAACCAATCTCACCTAAACACAAATATTACCAAATGGCCGAATCAAAATGACCATATTTTTTGGTGAAACTTTTATTGACACAAAATCAGAAACTATAACTACAATAAGATGCATATTCTGAAATATCAAAACCTTTAAAATGTATGACATGTAACTCAATTGCTTAACAATTCAATGGAATATTAATGGAATGCATATGATTTCCCCGACGTGCTGTGTAATGATTCAGATGATAATTATCTTTCTAACAATCAACCATCTCGCGTCCAGACATTAATATTAGCGACCTTGAGATATACACGGTTTCACGAAAAAATGCGACATTCATAGAACCGGATGAGATATTGGATATTGTATATACAATCTGATCAATTGTGTTCGCAAAAGAACAACATTATCAAGATATCACCTAGTAAGCCTTCAGCGATGTTGGAGAATATATCCAACAGTGGTTTTTTTATTCAATGAAAACCAATATCAATAAGGAACCCGTAGAACTCAGGTGTTTTTAAATATTCCAAGCACGCAGAGTATCGGACGTTTTCAATAGCCATAAGAATTACTAAAATGCTCAATGAAAACATCATTTTAATTAAACACTGTGACTGGAAACAATATATTATACCAAATAATTAAAAATCAATTACGAACCACCGGCGGAAGTAATGAACAAATTATGTAAGATCTCGTTTTAGTCAAGTTGTTATACGTACAAATATGTATTAGAATTGATAAATAACTAAACCTTTGCAACTATTATGACTAACAGAAAATAAATATCTCATATATATATAATATATATATACGTTTATTATCAAGTTTACAAATATACTTAAGAACAAACACTTTCTTGAAAGTGACGTGGCAGATAATACGATACCAATGTGTGGTGAGTTAGGAAATTGAAATGTGAAATTGTGTGTTCACTGTTAATGTTTTATTGATTGTATTATGTTCTAATCAGAACTTATATTATAAGATAAACCGTGCAGAACATATCTGGAAGCCATGCTATTTAGAAATATTGGTAAAGAGTAGAATTCACGTGTGTGGTCGTATTCTATCGACGCTTAATATTATGTAATATAGCACTCGATATTTTAACATTATTTTTTTAAATTTACCTCTGCCATTTCCTCTGTAGCAACACGAAAATCGTTATTGTGAGAAACAATGTTGTACATAACCTTATTTGCCCAGCAAATAGTTCAATCCCATGAAACATGTCAACATTATGAATATTCAATGTAATTTGTTTGCGCAATATGTTTCACGACATCCTTTCAAAATGGTATGTATGGCACACTTGCGTCAATATTTTATCAGCAAAAATAAATAGATAACAGCTGCCAGGGCGGACGAATATAATATATAGAAAATGATATTTTGTAATCGTAGTTCGTATTATTAGTTCAATATTACCTGGCGTTCCGGACAACGGCCCTTAGTGATATATGCATAGGTATAATATATGAATGTTAATATGGGTTATTTGTTTTCTGTCAA